ACTCTGGCCGCTTGGGCTGTTACCAGTAACTGGTTACGCAATATGTATCCAATATCGCATCCTGCGCCTATCCCAAATACGAGATCCCACGCTCTGTCGCTACACGATATCTGACGCCCGTAAACCTCGTAGTCGTTTGCGGCCCCACTACAGAGTCCTTTCACCACAAATACTACTATCTGGGCTACGCAACCAGCTATCGCCAACGGGGTAGTTGTAAAGTACGCGACGCAACCATTCAAGAACGCCAGCAGAACTATGGTGATCGCTCGACCTAATACCTTCTCTAAACCACTGCAGACAGTACCCATCCAGGTAGCCCCCATAATCGTGGCTAAGCTCGGGAATGCGCCAACATGGTACGCGACAGGGATCATCGCCCAATAGCTGCACAGCAAAGATTGAGCACCCTGCAAGATTCCAGAAAACGCAGGTAAACAATCCTTTTTCTCATTCATGAAACTGAAGTCAATCTTATTAAAGAAACTCATTACAGAATCTTTTTTCTCGTTGATGATCTCAATGGCGCGACCGCTAATGGTCGAAGCCACATACATATTGTCTCCGTTTGTTCTGTACCGCTCTGCAAGAAACTTGCACTGGCCAGCAGCAAAACCCTCTCTAAACGGGAAGATCTGAGTAACGGAACGCGTTAAGTTTCTAATAGTCAAATTGTATACTGAGCTAACTATCACGGCACATGCTCTCATTGCAACAGCTGCTCCACCGAGCGCATTGACGGCGCGGCGCTGTGCTTCAAAGCGGCATCTAGTGCTCCACTGCCTAGTCCTATTTCTTGCAGTATTTCGAGGTTGACGTCTTTTGACTCTTCGGGATCTTCTATGAAACTCGAAATTTGCGTTCCGATCTTATCTAATATGCTATCTCTTACTCTCTCTGTTTCACACTTCATGACATAATCGAAATAGCTTTTATACCATAGTTCGTCGCTTTTACAGAAGCGGTGCGCCTCTTGTTCTCTTTTGTATTGGTAAGCAATATAAGCTCGTCACTTATAATCTGTGTCAGATACAAGTACACTGTGGGAATCGCATAAGGGTAAACACAATAATCAAGTCTATGTTGCGTTCCACACAAGTTTATTAAAATGTGTACGAGCAGTGAAAACGATGTAAGCTACAAGAATGACTCTGACGGACTATGTCGTCGCTAGTTAAATCTCTCCTCGAAAACTCATCAGTAAAAGAAGAAAGAAACAGTTTAGAAAGAGAGAAAATATAGAAAGTGGGAAAATCCAGAAAAACCGTTGAAAGTTCGGAAAAGGAGGGGTACAGCGGACGAGAATCATAAAACAGAAAGTGAAGAGGTTCGCAAGGGCCTGAGCGTTGACACTGGCCAGGCCCCGGCGAGACCCTATAGAAAGTGAAAACAATTAGAGAACGTAAAGCTAAAGAAGATAGAAAACAGAAAACAGAATTTTAGAAAACAGAAAGAATATAGAAAACAGAAAAGGCAATGGCGTATGTGATGCCAAGGGCGCCACAGTACCCCCCTACCAGTAATTGGAACAATTACGAAATACAAATGTTACATCAAAACACAATAAGAAACTCGTAATACAATAACGTATGTCCGTACCTGATTAAAAATACACCATAAAGATATTAACAAATTACAATAAGAATATCAAAGTGCTCACGCTAAAATATATATGAACTTACAAGACACAAAGTCAGTCTAATGGAACGCAGAAAAAAAACGTATAAAATGCAATACAACACACACTATATAATAAGAAAAAACACACACTATAATAATAAACACGCCATATAATAAAAGAAAACACACACATACTAATGAATTACTTGTAAACGATCGGGAAATCGAACTCGACGACCCGAGCGTGTGACGCGCGTTTGCACATTTGGTGCATTATTACAATTATTTTTCTGAATGGCCGGTTCATCTTGGACTTTCCTCCGCCAACAAATACGCAGGTTTTAACCTCTCAATGGATACCACTATTTCTTTACCCTTAATATTTAGAGTAAAAGTTTTATCACCCCGGCGCACTACGGCAAACGATCCTTCATAGGCTGGTTGTAAAATGGTCTTTGCAGCGTCGCGTCGGTTCGAACAAAAACATGTGTTGAGGTATTTAGATCTTTAAAAATGAAAAGACGGTTAACGGAATGATGCGCTGCGTTAATTGGATTTAATTTGGAAAAATGACTGCGTAAATTATTAACAAAATCGGAAACATCTTCTCTGGCTTCAGCTCCGCGCGATACTAAAAATTCGCCAGGCAATCTTAATGATTCCCCGTAAACTAATTCGGCTGATGTTGCGCCGAGATCCTCTTTCCAAGCAGAGCGTATGCCGAGTAAAACCGATGGTAAAATTTCGGTCCATCTAGCTGATTCGTAACATCTTATAGCAGCCTTAAGCTGACGGTGAAAACGCTCCACCATACCGTTAGCTGCAGGGTGATATGCCGTAGTGCGCAGGTGTTTACAACCAATCAAACAATTAAGGGTATAAAATAATTTCGATTCAAACTGCCTTCCCTGGTCGGTAGTAATACGTAAAGGGGTCCCAAACCGCGCTACCCAACCGTCATAAAAGGTTCGAGCCACGGTCTGGGCCTCTTGATCGATCATGGGGAAAGCTTCCGGCCACCGAGTATACCTGTCTACGCAAGTTAAACAATATCTATAACCTTCCGACACCGGCATAATCACTATATCTAAATGAACATGCTCAAAACGAGCGGAAGGTTTAACAAAAGTAGTTAAAGGCGCGGTTACATGCCGAGAAATTTTCGCCTTTTGACACGGTACACAACTACGTGTCCATTCACGGACATCCTTTTTAATCGACGGCCATACATATCTCTGCGATATGAGCTTGACCGTCGCGTTAATACCTGGATGCGATAATCCGTGTAACAAATTAAAAATAGGTCGTCGGAAAGAAATGGTCAGGAATGGTCTCACCGTATCAGTAGAAACGTCACAAAAAACATCGGAAGACGTGCCAGGCAATGAGATTTTACGAAGCTGTAAACTAGACTCGCTCTTCAACAATTGTTGAAGTTCCTCATCCTGAGCCTGCGATTCCGCTAGATGTTCGAAATTAATCGGGTGGTCGATCGATTCCACCCGAGACAACGCATCGGCAACAACATTATCCTTGCCCGAAACATGCTTAATATCGGTAGAAAATTGTGAAATAAAATCGAGATATCTGAATTGACGTGGTGAACATTTATCTAATTTCTGTTTGAATGCAAAAGTTATTGGTTTGTGGTCGGTAAAAATAGTAAAATGCCTGCCTTCTATCATGTGCTTAAAATGTTTGATGGATAAATAAATGGAAAGTAATTCCCGGTCATAAGCGGAGTACTTTCTCTCAGCAGACCCTAACTTTTTCGAGAAGAATGCAAGGGGTTGCCAATCATTACCGATGCGCTGCTGCAAAACAGCCCCCACAGTAAAATCGGAGGCATCGCAGGTAACCGCTAACGGAGCATTGACCTCAGGATGGGCGAGCAAGGTTGGCGTTGACCTCAGGATGTGCGAGTAAGGTTGCTTTGGCTAGACTATTTTTACAATTTTCAAATGCCTGACCCGCTTCCGATGTCCAAGTTATTGGTGCTTTGCCTTTTAAATTACCCGCTAATAGATCGTTTAAAGAGGCTTGAAAATCCGCGGCATTGGGAATAAAACGGCGATAAAAATTTAACATCCCCAAAAATTGCCTTAAATCTTTCGCTGTTTTGGGAAGGGGGTACGATTTAATAACCTCTACCTTCTCAGGTAGTGGCTGAGTACCATTCCTGTCCACACGGTAACCCAGAAATTTTACCGACTCTTTCCCGAAATTGCATTTACGCGGATTAATTACTATACCGTAGTCTCTTAAACGGTTAAACAAAATTTCCAAATGACGACGATGTTCTTCTTGAGACTCTGAGGCGACTAAAATATCGTCGATATACGCGTAACAAAAATCGAGGCCGCGCAAAACCTCATCAATAAAGCGCTGGAATGTTTGCGCAGCATTCCTTAACCCGAACGACATAAAATTAAATTCGAACAGACCGAAAGGGGTTGTAATAGCAGTTTTGTCTATGTCTTCCGGCGCTACCGGAATCTGATTATACGCGCGAACTAAATCTATTGTTGAGAATATCTTTTTACCACATAATTGTTGCGCAAAGTCTTCGATGTGACGTACTGGATATCGGTCAGGGATCGCTCGCGCGTTCAACGCCCTATAATCGCCACAGGGTCTCCAAGCCTCGTTGTCCTTCTTCTGGACCATATGAAGGGGCGATGACCACGAGCTCTTCGAGGGACGCGCAATTCCCATCTTCAAGAGGGTGTCGAACTCGTCCTTAGCCGCCTTGAGCCGATCCGGTGCAAGCCTCCGTGGCTTACTTGAAACGGGTGGTCCAGGGGTCGTTTTGATGTAATGCACCGTTTGGTGCTTCGTCGTAGTCGGTGTTCCGCTGGGTCGCGTTAATTCCGGCATCTGGGACAGGAGCTGATGATAGGTGGACTCTCCTACCACAGTCTTCACCGACGGCATATCATCGTCGGCCTGGCTCCCGCGGACAGTTAACGTGGTCGTCCGATCGACAAGGCGACGGTTACGGATGTCTACCATAAGATCGAAGTGTTCCAAAAAATCCACCCCGATTATGGGCTTCGATACATCCGCAACCACAAACCGCCAGACAAAATCCCGTCGGAGACCAATGTTTAACCCTTTGCACTCGGCTGTCCCCTCTGAGGGGACATTTTGAACGACAAAATAAACTTTCCGAGTGCAAAGGGTTAAATTTAACGTCACTGAGCCATACGTGTTGATAACGCTCCCATTTGCCGCCGTCAATTGATAATCTGACTTATCTCGTGGTCTACGCAGCAATTAACGTGGAAAAACACACAAGTCAGCACCAGTGTCCACAAGAAACTGCATTTTAGACACTTTATCTGTAATGAATAGACGGCGGGATGCAAGATTATGGTCGTTCAACGACTCCCTTGCTCGTTTCCCTGAGCCGGAGTCCAATTGCAGGGCGATACACACCTGTGTGCATTCGACCCATATCGCCAATGATACCAGCATTTCCCTTGATAGTCCGGTTGTTCTCCGCGATCCCGCGAGCGCGATGCAGACCGTCCACGATATCGCGAATTAGACCGACGACGTTGCAACCATCTACCGCGTCGGAAAGACGACCTCTCATTATACAGGGAATCGCGCACCGCGGAAATTTCCTGCCTCAAAGACAGCGCTAATTGTGCCATCTTTACATTAAGCAACGATTCCAAATTCTGATCGACGGTGGGCGCTGGTCGGGGCGAATGGATTACGGCTGTGGCTTCTGCTACCTGCACACGCGGCGTCATTGTCTCCGCTATGGCATCCGCCAGCTCTGCCACTTTGTCTAAGACCGTATCCCTCTGAGTGGCTAAAATCACCTGCATATTGGCCGGTAACCGACCCATCCACAGGGTGCGCAATACACCGTCCGACATGAAGGTACCTGCCAGCATACGCAGGTGTCGCAAAAACTGGGACGGCTTTCTGTCCCCAATCTCTTCCTGCTCCAGCAATCGACGGGTCTTTTGCTCCTGCGAGGCACTGAGACGACGAATAAACTCTGTCTTTAACTCCTTATATGGTTCGTTTGCTGGCGGATTCATAATTATATCGCGCACTTCCGCGGCGTATCGGGCACTCAACGTACCGAGTACATATCCGAACTTTGTGGTTTCAACTGTCACTCCGGCCGCGTCAAAACTTCTTTCGACCATCGAGAACCACATCTCTGGGTCGCTCGGACAAAACTCAGGTATACGAATCGCGACGCGATCAACAGCCGCCGCTGC